AAGGAAGACAGGCGTCCTAAATCCCTTTGTAAACTTCAACACGTATATTTTATATAGGGAGCAAGAACCARGCGATTTTGATTCTCTCATCCCGAATGAATTTGGACGAATTGGCCAATCAGCAATAAATTTTTAAAAACATTCTGAACATATACCCAGAACAAAGGAAATACCATAATTCACTCTGCACAAAAATGCCCAACTATGAGCAACAATTCTAGTTAAATACAATACAATACAATAGTAGTTTATTCAGGACGCAAATAATCAGTGAACGCACAATAAAATAGTAAGAGCGAAAGCAAAAACTATAAAACGCAGCAAAAATAAAACGAATTAAATAAGCACCCTAAAAGGAAGTTTGGAGGTTAGTCCTATGTAAAAACTCCCTAAATGCGAATATAATGACGATCAAAAGCACCAATACGGTATACGGGGATATTAATAAATTGTCGCATACAATCTAAATCTAAATCACTAATTTTAAGAAACTGTGAAAAACACTCCAGCCTCTCTATCCTAACTCGCTATGATTTTATTTGTCAAAATCAAAATTAAAATGAATTCGCAAGAGAAATATAAACTTAGAATCCAACCAACCCTCTTGTAGTGTATAAGTTAACATCACATGGAAATTAATTTTATGTGTGGCTTTTAGAAACGAAAAGACATTGGTTAAATCAGTTTCGAAATATAAATCGTAAATAACTTTCTATGGAATACGTTTGATCATTTAATAATTTTGAATCAAAGTTTTTGGAATTTCTTGGAAGGTATTTACTCTGCTTTTAATTACCGCGCCCTTATTCTAGGAATTCGCGAAAGTTCCTTTTAAAAGATAAGCTCTAAATTCAAAAGATAAGCCTAAATGCTTAGACAATGCTGACACGAACTTAGATCAACTAATAAATAATGTAAAACCTATAAAACCCTTGTTAGTTGGCTCCCATTCCTTTGACAACACTCTTGCACGTTCGATTGCAAATTTCTTGTGCACAGTCACACTCTATATTTTTTCCTAGCCCACCGTTCCTGTTGACAAACCTTATACAATAATGATAATAATAATGTTTATTAAAATAACTTGGAGAAAATATACGATTATATAAAAGAAGGTATAAGAGACAGCTGACAAACCTTCCCCATGTTAGTCCGCGATGGGTAGTGCTTTCACCTGTGCAATGCTCACAAACATTTCTAAAGCATGTTTAGAAAATGAATTAAAGAGTTCGAAATACAGGAGAAGTCTTTTCTTGTTGATGTTGTTTCTGTCTCCATCACCCTTAGCCTGCTGTGCAGACGTTTTTAGTGTCGGCTCGTTCCTTTCCCTCCCCACGAGCGTCTGCTCTAGTGACTCATGTGACCCAGTGAATTGTGACACCAACATGCCAATCAGAACCATGTAGTTATAACCCATGCCACATTTATTGGTGTCATGTGATCTATACTTCGCAAATCCTAACAAAAACTGAAACTACATTTAAAAAATACAGTATTCAATATTACGGTTTTATTTTGAGATTCAGTCTCGAACCTAACAGCCTCGTTTCGGAATCTCGTTTCCAGCCTTCGCGCGCTGCAGTAAATGTATTTGCGTTTTTCGAACTTTTGTTTGTGCATTGCACTTGCGGTCCGTTGAAATATACGTTCTTAAACAGAGCAGTTGTTTCAGCAGATCTAGAGCGAAAAGAGAACACTGAAAAAAACCCATCGAAATAC